TCTACGGTCTCCGCCAGGCACCGCGTGAGTGGCACGACACACTGAGGACTACGCTTGCGGCCCTTGGGTTTGCTCCTTCTACTGCTGACCCGTCGCTGTTTCTTCGCACCGACACTTCACTGCCGCCGTTCTACATCCTCGTGTACGTCGACGAATTGGTCTTTGCCACAGCGGACACTGCTGGACTCGCCTACGTGAAGTCCAAGCTGCTGAAGAGACACACGTGCACAGACCTGGGTGAACTGCGCAGCTACCTTGGCTTGCAGATCACTCGGGACAGAGCACGCCGCACCATTACCTTGACTCAGTCACACATGGTGCAGCAGGTCCTTCAGCGCTTCGGCTTCACGTACTCCTCGCCTCAGGCCACTCCTCTGCCTACTCGCCACTCACTCTCAGCTCTGCCTTCGGATGAGTCCGTAGAGTCGAGTGGTCCGTATGCAGAGCTTGTTAGCTGCCTCATGTACCTGATGACCTGCACACGACCTGACCTTGCATACCCTCTGAGCATTCTTGCACGCTATGTTGCTCCTGGGAGACACCGACCAGAGCACATGGCTGCAGCGAAGAGGGTATTGCGCTACCTGTGCAGTACGTCGGGCATGGGGCTAGTGCTTGGAGGGCGGAGTCCAGTGGTCCTTACCGGCCACGCGGACGCTTCTTGGGCTGACGACCAGGCTACGCAGCGGTCGTCACAGGGTTACACCTTCAGCCTTGGTTCCGGCTCTGTCTCGTGGCGGTCTACTCGCTCGTCTTCGGTTCTCGGCTCCAGTTGTGAGGCTGAGATCTACGCCGGGGCCATGGCTGCACAGGAGCTTCGCTGGCTCACCTACCTGCTGACTGACCTTGGAGAGCCGCCTCGTTCTCCTCCAGTGCTGTACGTAGACAACAAGGCCATGCTGGCCTTGTGTCGAGAGCAGCGCTTGGAGCACAGAACGAAGCACATTGCTCTCCGCTACTTCCTTGCTCGTGAGCTGCAGCAGCGTGGTCAGTTGCGACTTGCGTACGTGGCCTCTGAGGCCAACACTGCTGATGTGTTCACCAAGGCACTTGCGCCTTGTGACCATCAGCGCTTTTGCACTCAGCTGGGTCTTGTGCCTGTCTTGCCTCACTTGCTCTCCTCTTGACTTCACTTGTACTGTGACATATATATATATACCTGCTCTTGCGTGTCTAGTTTTATATATATGTCTGTACTCCTGCATGTGAACTGGCCTCTGGCCCTGCTCTTGTGCTCGGACTGTGTGGTGACTTTGTGATCCACCCTGAGCTTGCTTTGCTTTGCTTTGCTTTGCTTGACTGGTCTTGTGACCCCTTGTTCTCCCCCACTTTGCCTATGGGGGTGTGTCAGATTATCATAGCTGATGCATGTTTGTAGGCTATAGTGGGGTAGCACATATGGGGTACAGCTTTCTAGGGTTGTATTTGTACCCAACTCTGACTTAGTCATTTTCATTCCTGTTCATTGATTCTCTCACTACCAATCTAGGAATAACATTTGTAACGTACGGACGGTCGCGATGTAGCGTATCCGTTTGAGTTTTGTAGGTCGGCGGCGTATTAGGAGCGGCCATGTGCCGGCTCCTGTTTGGCAAACCCCACTTGCCATGAGGCAATTGCCGTCGTACATCTGTGGCCATCTGGACCCTACATGCGGCACGACACGATTCGTTAGGGGAGGGCATCCATCTGGCATAAAGCGTAATTACACGTGGAGATATTCTGCTGACGTGGAATAGTGGCTTAATGTATGCTCCAATGCAGCAATGTGGCAACGCACAGGTGTAACCGTGGAGTGTCACCACAGTGACGCAAATGTCATCGACGAACATATGGCGTATAAGCGACCCCCATGACGCTGTGCGTGTTGCGGCATTGTTGCGGGAACCGTTGCTAGAAAGCTGCGGGAAAGTTGCGGAAAAGCCACTTTCCCCGTAACCCCGACACAGAAGCGTTTGACCTAGACTTTTTTCTTGCGAAACCAAAGTTGCGTGAAAGCAACTTTGAAGCTGCTAAGCCGCAGCTTTTCCGGCCTTAGACTTTCGCCAGTGGCGGGTGGGCGCATCAAGGCGCGGAGCATGGCGGAGAGGCAGAGGCGGGAGAGGATCAGCGAGGGGCTGCAGAAGCTGCGGTTGGTGGTGCGCGGCCATAGGGACACTGCTACCATGCTCGATAAAGTTGTTGCATGTGTCGACGCGTTGCAGCGCAGGATGACCACGCTGGAAACCGCTCTTCTGCTGCACCAGGCGTCGTGCAAACACCCAGAGTGGCCGAATGGTTGTTCCCTGGCCTCCCCTGGAGGATCTTCTCAGCTTTTGCAAGGGATATTCCCATTGGACTAAAGGTTATCAATAACATAAGATCAGCCGACTAATGTAGCTGGATGTGTCATTTGTCAGAGCGATTCCATTGATCTTGTATATAATATGTGTCCTCATTTCTTATGAATCAACCCATCATACGTTTGAAATGCCTGGTCACAACTAGTTTGAAACAAGTTGGCTACTAGGAGAGTTATTATTGTTTGAAGTTCCAGAATCTTCTCCTACGGATCGCAAGTTATACAAACGCGGATTGTTAGGGACGGAACAGTTGTGCTGTTTGGAACTTTGTTGGGGCTGGTGAGTAGCGGTTTAGAGCGGTGACGGAAAACAGACGGTCTTGAAGGTGAACCAGCCTTGACCGCCCTGCCCATCACGCTTCTGGAATTTTCCACTCTGGCGAGTTGCAGAATTTGAAGGTACCTAGTGCCCACAGAGGAACTGTCTCCAGTCGCAATTTTCTTACGACTCTTAGCGTTAGCTCCCTACTAATCAGCGACGGTAGCAGGAGGAGCGTCTTACTAATATATAGCTGCTTCTCGTTCAATATATATCGCTGTCTGTCGTTCCCCGCCCTCTTCCGCGCTTGCTCCTCCCTCCGTGCCGATCCGCCCGTCCGTTTTCGCTCTCCTGCTTTCCGCGTCTTGCGAGCTTCGACTCGTCTACGCGACGAAATGAGTGCCGCTCGCCTTCCCGCGCTCCTCGCGCTCCCGCTGCTGCTGTTGCTCGTCGCGAGCCTGCTGGTCACCCCGCTGCGCGCCGAGGACTGCGACGCAATCCTCGATAAGGTGAGAATGACGCGCGGCGAGAATGAGGAGCGGCGAAGGGGTGAATTCTGCGTGTTGGTTGACGAGCAGCACCGCGTGCGGCTGCGCGCCGATTGACGACCAGCAGGCTGCGCGCCGAAGACTGAGACGACATTCTAGATCAGGTGCGAGGCGAGAGTGACGAGGAGCGCGTGGAGGGGGAAGGTCTGAGGGGGGTGCATTCTGCGCGCCGATGAGGACCAGCTCCGCGCGGATGACGCGCGGAAGACGGTACTACTCATTCATACGCATACCTTTCCCCATCCCTTCCCCCGCGCTTCACTCGCTTCATTCAAGTTTCCTCTCCTCGCGTACACCTCTGACTGCACGCCTTTTGAGACGTCTCAAGAGTTATTCCCGCCTCTCCATACACTGCGCGCCATGAGGCGCAGTGAGAAAAAAAAATCTAGAATTCTCAACAATCTTTGGAGGCGTCTCAAGAGTTATTCCTGCCTCTCCTCTCACTGCGCGCCAACGAGGGTTCTGGCCCAGTGAGAAATTTTCGGGAATTCTCAAAAATGTGTTAAGTTGTCTCAAGCGTTATTCCCCGCCTCACCTCTCACGCACCAACGAGGCTTCTGGCCCTGCCCCAGGGGAGGGGAGCACGTGTAAAGGCAATTTCTGTTTGAGCTGCTACACTAGATTTTCCTTTTCTTTGTTCAAGCTGCTGCGCGCATGCTCCAAGCCTTGCACATATCCCTCTCTCCTTCCCCACCCTTTCTTCTCTCACTGCGTGCCGATAACTGTGCGCCTATGGCTGAATGCCTATGACTGAATGCCTGTGACTGAATGTCTATGGCTGAATGCCTATGACTGAATGCCTATGACTGAATGCCTGTGACTGAATGTCTATGGCTGAATGCCTATGACTGAATGCCTATGACTGAATGCCTATGACTGAATGCCTATGACTGAATGCCTATGACTGAATGCCTATGGCTGAATGCCTATGACTGAATGCCTATGACTGAATGCCTATGACTGAATGCCTATGACTGAATGCCTATGACTGAATGCCTATGACTGAATGCCTATGACTGAATGCCTATGACTGAATGCCTATGACTGAATGCCTATGGCTGAATGCCTATGACTGAATGCCTATGACTGGATGCCTATGACTGAATGCCTATGACTGAATGCCTATGACTGAATGCCTATGGCTGAATGCCTATGACTGAATGCCTATGACTGAATGCCTATGACTGTATGCCTATGGCTGAATGCCTATGACTGAATGCCTATGACTGAATGCCTATGACTGAATGCCTATGACTGAATGCCTATGACTGAATGCCTATGGCTGAATGCCTATGACTGAATGTCTATGGCTGAATGCCTATGACTGAATGCCTATGACTGAATGCCTATGACTGAATGCCTATGACTGAATGCCTATGACTGAATGCCTATGGCTGAATGCCTATGACTGAATGCCTATGACTGAATGCCTATGACTGAATGCCTATGACTGAATGCCTATGACTGAATGCCTATGACTGAATGCCTATGACTGAATGCCTATGACTGAATGCCTATGACTGAATGCCTATGGCTGAATGCCTATGACTGAATGCCTATGACTGAATGCCTATGACTGAATGCCTATGACTGAATGCCTATGACTGAATGCCTATGGCTGAATGCCTATGACTGAATGCCTATGACTGAATGCCTATGACTGTATGCCTATGGCTGAATGCCTATGACTGAATGCCTATGACTGAATGCCTATGACTGAATGCCTATGACTGAATGCCTATGACTGAATGCCTATGGCTGAATGCCTATGACTGAATGCCTATGACTGAATGCCTATGACTGAATGCCTATGACTGAATGCCTATGACTGAATGCCTATGACTGAATGCCTATGGCTGTATGCCTATGGCTGAATGCCTATGACTGAATGCCTATGACTGAATGCCTATGGCTGAATGCCTATGACTGAATGCCTATGACTGAATGCCTATGACTGAATGCCTATGACTGAATGCCTATGACTGAATGCCTATGACTGAATGCCTATGACTGAATGCCTATGACTGAATGCCTGAATGCCTATGACTGAATGCCTATGACTGAATGCCTATGACTGAATGCCTATGACTGAATGCCTATGACTGAATGCCTATGACTGAATGCCTATGACTGAATGCCTATGACTGAATGCCTATGACTGAATGCCTATGACTGAATGCCTATGACTGAATGCCTATGACTGAATGCCTATGACTGAATGCCTATGACTGAATGCCTATGACTGAATGCCTATGACTGAATGCCTATGACTGAATGCCTATGGCTGAATGCCTATGACTGAATGCCTATGACTGAATGCCTATGACTGAATGCCTATGACTGAATGCCTATGACTGAATGCTTATGAATGCACGCCGGTGACTCCAGGGGGGATTGTGAGGAGAAGATGGGCAGTCACAAATATCGCTCCCTCTCCACATGCATGAGTGCCTCTCCACATGCATGAGTGCCTCTCCACATGCATGAGTGCCTCTCCACATGCATGAGTACCTCTCCACATGCATGAGTGCCTCTCCACATGCATGAGTGCCTCTCCACATGCATGAGTGCCTCTCCACATGCATGAGTGCCTCTCCACATGCATGAGTGCCTCTCCACATGCATGAGTACCTCTCCACATGCATGAGTGCCTCTCCACATGCATGAGTGCCTCTCCACATGCATGAGTGCCTCTCCACATGCATGAGTGCCTCTGCACATGCATGAGTGCCTCTCCCTCCCCTTGCCAGGTGAAGGAGTGTGAGGACACGTGGGGAAGTTGAGGAAGTTGCTGTTCATTGAGGGAGTATGTGTGCAGCAGCAGCTTGAGCAAAGAAAAGAGGCAGAGAGCACATTTTTGCTGTCATCTGCGTTTCCCTTGCCAGGTGGAGGAGTGTGAGGAGAATGTGGGGAAGCTGAGGAAGCTGAGATTCGAGGCGGAGAACAAGTTTGACGCGACGCATGCGATGGGGGAGAAGATGAAGGAGAAGATGGCCGAGTGTGAGGAGACCACCGCCAAGAACGCTGCTGAGCGGGAGAAGGAGAAGAGCGAACTGAGTAAGTTGGCGGATTCCATTTTCAAGCAAAGTAGATGTGTGTGTCGAGTTGATTCAGATGAGAAAATGGGGAGTTGGCTTGGCAAAGTAGGTTGGAGGAGATAACCTGGGGGGAGCTTGATGGGGTGCAGAGAGAAAGATGGTGTGAGGGATCTAGGGGTGCACGTGATCTAGCTTGATCTGGGCTGTACGTGGGGATAAGATTGGTTGCTGGGCCTCACGCAACTCTTGTGCTGCACTGTGCTCCATGCCTCTTCTGACTTACAGCCATGCACAGTCTTCTGATATGGCCCTCAAGTGCACGGCTCTTCTGGTCTTGTTCAACGCTTCTCAACGGCAGCAGTGCTTCACCTGGATGGGAGTGTTAAGTCGTGCTTCGGGCATGCCAATATATGTCCACTGTTTTCATGTCTCATCTCTTTGCCTCTCTTAACACTCTGCAGGTCACATTGGCTGAGAGGCTTGAACAAAAAGGATGATGTCGTGTTGTAGACACTTAAGGCATGAGGCATGCTCACAATGCCTCCTCCTGTCTCCTCTGTGTCCCTCTCTCGCCACTCTCCCCTTTCAATGCAGTGGCACAGGTACATGAGCTGGAGAACAAGGTGAAGGAGCTGCTCAAGGCATGCTCACAATGCCTCCTGTTTCCTCTGTGTGTCCCTCTCTCCCCTTCCAATGCAGTGGCACAGGTACATGAGCTGGAGAACAAGGTGAAGGAGCTGCTCAAGGCATGCTCACAATGCCTCCTGTTTCCTCTGTGTGTCCCTCTCTCCCCTTTCAATGCAGTGGCACAGGTACATGAGCTGGAGAACAAGGTGAAGGAGCTGCAAGCGAAGCTGGGCATCAGTGAGGACAGCAGCACCAGTGATGACACCAGCAGTGACGGCAACACCAGTGACAAGTAAACCTCTGTAATGGTTGGCTCATGCCTGCAAGCGAAGCTGGGAATCAGTGAGAACAGCAGCACCACTGGCGACACCAGCAGTGACAAGTAGCCCTTGTAATAGATGGTTCATGCATGAATTGTGCAAATGCAGTGTGTGGTTTTAGCGTCTGTCAATTTGAGGTTGTGTAAATGAGTAAAATGATATCTCATTAATTGGAATCATGACATAAGGTCATTGTACCTGGAGTCGTCGTCATCAGCGGAAACAGCATTGGCCCCATGAGCCAGACCGTGTACGGTACCTAGAGTCGTCTTTATTGCATGCCACCTTATTTCCCCACCTCCATGAGACATAAGCGATGCAAAATGCAGGTGCCTGCGCGGGAGACGTGACACACGAATCCTGCCGTGCGAGGCTGAGCGGCAAGGCTGAGCGGCGAGGCTGAGCGGGAGAGGATCTCTCAGCGCCTTGCGCTAAAAAACGTATCCAGCCGCTCTGGCTTCCGCCTCCGCCCGTTCCGCTTCCGCAATAGCTTCCGCCATTCGCTCATTCTGCCTCCGCACCTCCAGGTCCGCCTGTCTCTTCGCATGCACGGCTTCGTCAACGATTTTCTTCGCCTGGTCCATTTCGCCAGCGGCCTCCGCCACTCGATTGTTCGCCTCGTCCATTTCGAACTGCAGCTTGTCGATGCTCGGCATCTTAATGGCGGCGCTTGACGATTTCGATTTCGACCGTCTCTTCTTCGCCGCGAGAGCGCCGCTCGTGCAGAGCGCGAGGACGAGGACGAGGCAAAGAACATATCGCTTCCAGTGAGCCATGCGAGGCTGACAGTAAGTCAAACGTCGGATTGGATGGTGAAAGCTGACGGTGAGCTTCACGGAGTGAGAATGCGGCTTTTGAGATGCTGGAGGAGCAGGAACTGAGAAGCAAGGATCGATTGACCAAGTCGCGAAACGAAGAAGCTGATAGCAAGGGTAGCGTCGATATGCTGTTGTTCCCTTTTGTACGCGTGGTGGCTGAGCCTTCAAGATTTTGGTCCTTCCGGTGCGGCTGCTGCCTCTTCTGCTCACAAACGGAAGAAGAGTTTCGGGGTTGAGCGTGGCTCAAGGGTTTACCGCGCAGTTCAGAACGTCGATAAGTGAGCCTGTGGAGTGTCACCGCTTCCGCCGAGCCGCGTTGGGTCCAGCTGTCCAGGTGTTTTGAAAAGCAGCTGAATGGGAGTATGGGAGCGACAATTACGTATGGGTTGCAAACGCGTACCAAGATGGATACACATGTTCCGCGATAATTCCACACCCTTTATCTTCACGACCTGGGGTACCTACCCTCGAAAGAACCGATTTCGAAGGTAGTTAGCAACGCTCGAAGAATTTTCAAGGTTAATGAAACACAATCTCAATGCGAGGTTACCGCAGGAACAATCTGGCACTGGAATTTTCCCCGCTCACTCGAACTACAAAGTTCGAGTTTGGAAAGGCCTTGACCTGGTGGCTATTTCCTGATAGACCCGCAATGTCAGGGCGTCCGTCTCATCAAACCTTCAACCATGTAGGGTGTCTGAGTAGAATCAAAGTTCAGGGTGTGGAAATATCGGAGAACAGGTGTAGAAGTGAAAGTAGAGGCAACCTATTGATAGCTGACTATACGTTTAATTTAGAGCGTGTTTTACCCTAAACCCAAAACCCTAAACCTCTCGCTAGTTTTACCAGGCAAAAAGAACAATCTTGATATGAGAACTTCATACGACAGGAATACGCTCTAAGAATACTTGATGATTGTCAATGGCTGTTTTCACCGAGTCGTGGATTTATGGAAATAGAGCATTATTAACGCATCCAATATCTGGTTGCCTCTTTTGGCTGAGCAACCAGATTGACCAAACAGTAGCTTGTGTATTACCTAGACAGAAAGAGGAAAAGAAGGGAAAGAAAGACATAAATGAAGAAGAAAAGAAAAGAAAAGAGAAAGGGAGAAGGAAAGTGAAACCGCCAAGAAGAACCCAAATGCAACACACGTAAAACCCCCCCTCAAGATACCCAATCAAAACGCCCAGTCAAGACACCCTGTCAAGACATCCCATCCCACACCCCATTCCCCCCCCCCCCCCCCCCCCCCCCAATCACAACAGCGAATCCACCATGTACGGGGCCTCCACCCAGAGAGCCCCGCCTTCCGCATCGCCATCGTCCCACTCCCGGTCCACCAAGTCAACGTAAGATTGGTGAAGCAATGTAAGAAATATGTTTAAAACATTTGATCAGGAAACCACTTTTTATGGAATAAAATCGGTTAATGGTTCAGCAATTTGTAGAAGAACTTTCATGTTCTTTCAATGGTCCCAAAAATTCCATTATGTAACAGTCACACGACAGACCAGATATCATTAACACTAATAACTGAGGCCCTGGCTATTGCATCCGATCTGTCATACCGTAACAGTCACTTCTCTCTCACCTCTCATCTCTCTTGCCTCTGCTATCTCTGCCATACCTGTCATCATTGTCGCCTCTATCTCTGTCTCTGTCCCTGTCCCTGTCTGTGTCGCTGTTGCAAATAATCCTTCTTCAGAATACGTGGTTCCATACAGCACACTAGGAATCCAGGTATACAAGCAAAGGTAAACTGACTACGGCAGCTAATACCACGGCTCGATCACTTGCATGAGATCCCCGAGGCTAAGAGGCTCCTCCTCGTAGGCTGAATGGGCTGCCTTGGCCTCAAAAGCCGTCGTATCACATGCCTCAAAACCGCCGCATGCCCCACAGGCCATGAGGCCTGCTTGGGCCATGAGCGCGTTTGCTACAGCGCGCTGCAGTGCGACGGAAAAGCGCTGCCGGTAGGAGTGGTAGAGCTTCTCTTCCACCCGTAAACCCCGCCCAGCGTTGTACAGCCGCTTGGCCCCAAGGTTGGCACAGAGGCGGTGAAACTCCATCACTCCGGGTGAGCAGCCCCCATACGTCTCCACCGCCATATCTAAGATTCCGACGCAAGGCGCGCGGTTGCGGTTCCTGTCTTCTTTGGTCCGTGCCGCTGCGGTTGCGGCCCAGCCTGCGGCCTGCCTTGCTGTCGGGTCTTGAGGTGAGAGTGGGTCGATGACGGTCAGGTAGCACAGCCACACCGCTCCCGAATCCGGGTGCTGAATGGCGAGATCCGCCTTCAAACCCCCCACCGGTGTGTGACGGGCTGTCTCGACCTGCACAGCAAAGCCCGCTTGCTTCGCAATGCGGGCACACTCCTTGCGGACCGCATTGCGGATGCTCGTGAGCCCTTTCCCTGCTCTGCACTGGAGGAGATGGCTGGGTGGGGGAGGGTCCGGGATCTCCGTCTGGTCTTTGCCTCTGTCCGTGCCTCTGCCCCTGCCTCTGCCCCTGCCTCTGTCTCTGCCTCTGCCTCGCTCTCTGTCCCTGCCACCTGGGCTCTCTATGTCTCTGTCTCCGTCTCTGTCCCTATCTGTGGTCCGACTCCCTCCCTTCACCTCTCCCGTTGGCTGGCCGTGGTGTTTCAGCACAGTCGCCTCCACAGGACCACCCCCACCCATCATACCCCTGCCAGACCCCACGTGCCCGCCATTCCCTGCCACTGCATCAGCTCCCTGCCCCTTCTCATTCCCCACGGGTGCCCTCTCCCGCTTCTGTATCTCTCGGTCCCTTGAGTCACATCTCACTGCTCTCACGTTCACTGGCTGACTGCCCAAGGGCGTTTTGGTTGTCGCAGGCTCTCGGCTCCTCTCCCACTCCTCCCTCTCATTCCCGTTGTTGGTCTGACGGAAACTTCTTGGACCTTTTCCTTTTCTTGCTTGGTTGCCTCGACCTTTCGTCCTAGTCACCCCAGCTGCACCACCCACTCCTCCTCGTATCGCCAGTTGTTGCATCGCTGCTGCTGCTGCTTCAGCTGCTCCCTCCGCTTCAGCTGCTCTCTCCGCTTCAGCTGCTCTCTCCGCTTCAGCTGCTCTCTCCGCTTCAGCTGCTCTATCCGCTTCAGCTGCTCTCTCCGCTTCAGCTGCTCTCTCCGCTTCAGCTGCTCTCGCCTCTTCAGCTGCTCTCGCCTCTTCAGCTGCTCTCGCCTCTTCAGCTGCTCTCGTCTCTTCAGCTGCTCTCGCCTCTTCAGCTGCTCTCGCCTCTTCAGCTGCTCTCGCCTCTTCAGCTACTCTCGCCTCTTCAGCTGCTCTCGCCTCTTCAGCTGCTCTCGCCTCTTCAGCTGCTCTCGCCTCTTCAGCTGCTCTCGCCTCTTCAGCTGCTCTCGCCTCTTCAGCTGCTCTCGCCTCTTCAGCTGCTCTCGCCTCTTCAGCTGCTCTCGCCTCTTCAGCTGCTCTCGCCTCTTCAGCTGTTCTCGCCTCTTCAGCTGCCCGTTCCAAACTCCCTGCAGCTGCATCATTCTCAACAGCACCTGGTTTCCCCACTGCATGTTCCACTGCCCGTTCACGCGCCTCCACTGCCCGCCCTTCGCTCCCACGCCCTGCACCTACCAGCCCTCCTATCACCAGCCCTTGCAGCGCCTTCGCGGCAGCTTCCACTGCTGCCTCGCCTGCTGCTTTCCGTGCTGCTGCGCGCCTCTCCACCCGAGCCCTCTCCTTGCGCACGTTGCGAACATTGCGAGCTGCGCCTCCCCTCGCATGTTTTTCAGCCAGCACTGCAGCTCTCTCTGCCTCGTTGGGCCAAGGCTGTGTAAGGGCAGGGGAGAGCAGAGAGCGAGCAACCATTGAGGAAGCTGCATACCTCTCCACTCGAACGCATACCTTGCGAACGGTGCGAGCTGCGCCTCCCCTCGCGTGTTTTTCAGCCAGCACTGCAGCTCTCTCTGCCTCGTTGGGCCAAGGCTGTCCAAAGGGGAGGGGAGAACCAAGAGAATGAGGAACCATTGAAGAAGCCGCACGCCCTCCACTCGTAGCTTCTTCTCCCGCATGTCGCGATCACTGCAAGTCACGTCTCCCCTCGCACGCTTTTCATTCACGAGAGCAACTCTCTCCGCCTCGTTGGGCCAAGGCTGCACGCACAGGGGAGAGCAGAAGATGAGAGGTT